CTAGTAGCGTGTGGTCATCGACCTCATCAACCTTTGATCCATAGTAGTGTCAGTGGTGTCACCTTCACGTTTAAATGCTGTTTGGTTCAACGATGTGTGTTCGCTTTTGGATGGTCTTGAGCCTCATGAGCATGAACTTGATGTTCCACCGATGGTTCCGGCCCGAGGGACCCCTTTTTGCCACTGGCCCTTAGGTGGGCCAGCCTTGCTACGCGTTTCTCACGCCGCGCCGCCATAGGTAGCGCAACCTGGCCTACAAAGGCCATTCGAGACCTCAAGGTCTGTGGAAAAGGTGCTTGGAAGTGCCTAGTGGGGGCTGCTTGGTTTTCGCCTTCGCTTGTGGGTTTTCGACCCTCACCTCCGTTGCCAGTTGTCCCCACGACACTGGTAGCGGAGCCTTGGTGTGCTTCGCTGGCCGCCAAGGCTGCCGAATTTGTTCTTTGGGCCTTTGCAGGTTTTGGAACTACACTTGAGCCCTACATCATTGACGTGATCCTGAACCAGATCCCGCCGCTGCGCCCGCAATCAGTGCTTGAGGCAATCACTGCTTGAGACCTGGCCGAAGCCAGGATGGAACGAGACAGAGACAAAGATTGGTTGAAGTGCTCCTGGGATGGTGACCAGAGCACCTTTGGCGACTACATCCGCCGTGTTCGCCTTGCCTTTGCCAAGACGCCCAAGAAGAAGCGTAAGTTCTTAGGCCCTGAATTGGTTTCCCAGCTCTCTGGCCGTGCCTGGGTGGTCACCCAGGAAGTGGCTCATGACCGCCTGGTTCAGGCGGATGGCGCGAAGTACCTGGTGGAGTTCCTGGAATCCCGGCTCGCTCGGGTACCGGTGCCGGATGCCGGCTCGAGAGCCGAAGATCTTCTGGTGAAGATGAGAAGGGCACCTGGCATGTCAATGTCGACTTGGTGCCACAATGTCCGAGAGGCATACCGCAGGCTCCAACGTGCTTTGAAGCGAGCACGCCAGGAGCAGGAACCTTCACCCTTGTCTTCGCCTACGACCTCTCCGCCTTCCAGGACTCCATCGAGGACCTCCCGCTCATCGACGAAGACCCGATCACGAACTATGTCACCTACCAGGTCTTCGTCCGCCAAGCGCCAATGGCGGAAAGGTTCCAAGGCCACTGTGCCTGAACCCGAGGCCGCTGATGAAGAGTTCGATGATGGGGAAGAAGATGAAGAAGTTCCTGACTCCCCGTTGCACGATGACTTCAACGAGGAGGATGAGGAGGAGAACCTTTCCGAGACCAAGAAGGGCAAAGCTGGTCGCCGATCTCATACCAAGAAGAAGGATTCCTCGACCAGCGAAGATGAAGATGACTGGGGAATTCACCTCTGGTCTGACCTAGACACTGGTCTTCCCGAAGTGCTTCCAAGTGAGATCATCGGGTGGTTGATGCTACGCCGCTCGAATCTCACGTCCCAACAACGCCTCAACATCCTCTCCACCACCGGCAACAGCTTGAAGGAGGATGACATCGAGCGAGCACTTCGAGGAGCTGAATATGAACTTCGTGCCAACGAGTCTGAGCACAAGGGCAAGGGCAAAGGTGGCAAGAAGCCACGACTCAACTTCTGGGTCGAGCAAGATGGTGAATGGGGCTTGCTTGCCATCGAGGACTCCGAAGGTCAAGAATGGATGGAAGATGGACAAGTCCATTGGGTTGGCACGAACATCGGCCACATCTATGCCCAGACTACTTTGCCGTCTACCTCATCGACATGGGAGGATGGTGACGATGCTGAGGCCGATGGGTTTTGGCATCAAGATGATCGTGGTGGCTACACCTGGTGGCAGCAGGAAGCTGATGGCGAGTTCTACCACCTGGACAATGGTGGAACCTACTGGCCGTGGTCTGAGCAGGCCTTCTGGAGTGCCACCCCCGAGGAGCAGAAGGAGATCCAAGAAGCCTACGCCGCCTATGAGAACAAGGTCCGTTCCTTCACCGACAGCCGGGCCTTGATGAAGCACAAGACCCTGAGCCGAGGGTTCTATCCCAAGGGAAAAGGCAAGAACAAAGGTGGCTTTGGCAAGGGAAAAGGTTTTCAACGACCTCGCCCTTCCTCCTCTTCGAGTTCTTCGACGAACACCGCCTTCGCAGCCCAATGATGTCATGGCCAACTCTGGCAAGGGCTACACTTCAGGATGCTTCATTTGTGGCAAGCCTGGCCACGATTTTCGCTCCTGCCCTGATAAGGTGAAGGGCTCTGGAGGAAAAGGCAGTGGGAAGATCTACATGGTGGAGCCCGTCGACGATACTGATGAGTATGGCCGCTTCACCGTCTTCAAGAACTATGACTCCGTGCCGGCAGCTGTCCCGACCTTGATGGCCGAAGTGGCTGCACCTGATGCTGAGGGCTATGCTGTCCTCGACACCGGGGCCACGGAGAGTGTGGGCTCTCTGCAATCCCTCGAGAGGATTCACCTTCGCAGGACTGAGCTCCTTGGTGATGTAAGTTCGATTGAGGTGATCAGAGGTCCACAGAAGATGTTCAGGTTCGGAAATGGCAGCATGCAACAATCTGAGTCATACATCCACCTCAAACAAAACGTCGGCACACATGAAATCAGCATCGGCATCTACACACTCGATGCGCAAGGAGTGCCGCTGCTGATAGGAGTCCGTACTTTGGACCGATTAGGAGGCATTCTCGACACTGAACAGAGTGTCATGGTCCTGAAAGCAGTTGATCCAACTCTAGTCATCCCACTCAGAAGATCAAGATCAGGTCACCTGTTAGTCAACCTCTGCAGCAACTGGCTTTCGGGCGGCGCCAAGATCCTTTTTCACGAGGCAATTTCCTCACCGACCACTTCTGAGGAAAAAGTGTTCGTCGCCGAGAGCTTTGAGAAGTTCGATGCACTTCACTCCCCCTCATGTCCTTCTTTGAGCACAACATGTTTTTCCACGACTAGAACATCCATTTCACCTTCCCCGCTCACGTCGGCTGTTTCGAGTTCCTTTTGCACTTTGAGTTCATTTGCATGCAGTGATGTTTTTGTGATTGATGAAGTTCATGAAGAAAGCCTTCCAGTCATTGAAGCAGTACATGCCACTTTGCAATCACACACGTCCATGTCAAATGATACGGAAAGTGAGCACCTTTCATCAGCACTCACGGCACCGACCTTTTCATCTCAAGACGAGCGGACAGGCATGTCCCTGAGTTTGAAGATCCTGGCCGTCCTCAGCTGTTCGACCTTCCTCTTCTCCGACCATGGCCACATCGTCGGCTCCGAGCGCCGCCGCTGGGAAGAAGGAGACAAAGGGCAAGACCAAGGTCGCTCGCAGCTTCGAGGAGAAGTACGACACCAGTCGCACGATTGGTGCGGATCCCAGAGATCCTCGCACGGAGGGATCCCCGTGCCACGGCAACCACAAGGTAGCAACCAGCTATCGTGGCAGTGTCACGGGAAGCAACGGCCATGCAGCTTGGACCGGGTGCGAGGTTTGCAAACTTCGGCTCACCTACACCCCGGCCTTCGGGGCCCATGCCTTGAACCGAGCACCAGGACCGATCCCTCAGGACGTCAAGCAGCAGGTCAAGACCCTGGGCAACGAAGCTGCTCACAACCCTCTTCTTCGAGACCAAGCCATAGGGTTGGACGGGGCCGAAGCGTCCGCTTTGCGCCAGCTGGAGAAGATCCGTGCGAGAAAGGAGACACTGCGCAAGAGTGCCAAAGAGGACAACCCTCAGGAGTACGCCCAGGAGAAGACCACACCACGCAAGAACGAGGGCTACAAGACTCCAGAGGAGATGAGCCACACTCCAGGCCGCAAGGAGCGCAAGTCCGACCAGACGCCCGAGGACCTGGAGTACGAAGGCCGTCTCAAGTCTTCATGGAGCACTATCTCATCGGGTTCTCCGGCAACTCCCGCGGCAGCTTCTCCCAGCCAGTGACCCCTCCTGTGGATGAGGAGCACTCCATCCTCGAGAATGACATGACGGCGGACGAGGACTATGACCAGGACCAGGCGGAGCCCATGATCCTGGAGGCCACCGAGAAGGAGTGCGAGAAAGGAGGACAGGCCAGTGCCGATCTGTCTGATGAGAAGGAACCACTTTATGACATCCACGAGTCAGGCACCGAGTTTTTGGACTGTGGCACTGACCTTTTGAACGTGGATGAAGTGGACTTCCTCAAGAATGTGGTGAACGACATCCAGGAGGAGATTGATCACTGCCTCACCTCATGCACCCCAAGCACTTCCGACAAGAAGGCCGACTTTGTTGAATTGTGCTGCGAGGAGCACAGCCTGATGTCCACGGCTTGGGAGCGCACTGGAGGCACTGCAGCTCGCATTGGACTCTTCAACAACTTCAACCTCCTCACGGAGAATGGAACCCAGCGAGCATTGCAGGTGATTGAATCTCACCGACCAAAGGTGATGTGGATCTCATTCCCCTGTGGAGCTTTCTCCTCGATACAGAACCTCAACGAATTGACCCCTGAAGGTGTCGCCCGTGGAAAGATGCGAAGAAAGAAAGCTCGCAAGTTGATCAGGAATGGCATCCGAGTCATCGAACGACACCTCTACCTCGGCGGGGAGATCTTCCAAGAGTGGCCACGTCATAACTCTGGCTGGCAGCTTCCAGAGATTCATGAACTGTGGACCGCCCTCCTCGACTTGGGTCGCTTCGAAGAGATCCACCTGGATGGATGCATGTTTGGACTCTCCACCAAGGATGGCTTGATCAAGAAGCCATGGAGGATTCGCTGCTCTCGCCCTGGCTGGCTGACGCCTTTGGCCAGGAAATGTGATGGAACCCACTCTCACATTCCAGCTCTTGGAGGCACCATTGCCCGACAGACAGCTCTCTATACCCCAAAGCTTTGTCGTGCTGTTTGCTCCAACCTTCAACGAGGACTTCATGAAGCAGCAGCTTTTGGAATTACTGAGGTCCGCTT